CACACACACACACACACACACACACACACACACACACACACACACACACACACACACACCAAGAGGCTCACCGAGACTGAATATTGTATGAGGATTTCTCATGGGCAACTGCAGAGTGTAAAAGCAGTGAGAGGTGGACTTGTGTGCACGCACACACACACACACACATAAAGAAGAGAGTGACACAGTTGGAAACACAAACACGTGCACACACACAATCAGGGCCAGTGGAGCTTGAGCTGATGTGGCCCAGAGCTGCCTTACGCCCTGCCACGACACAAACACACACACTTGCATACACTTAAGAGCCATCTGCAATTGGAGATACAGCCTACAGAAAGGCTTTACTGCTGATACGCTGAGACAGACAGCAAAAGGACAGAAAAAAAGGGAGAAAATGTCATAACTCACTGAATCGGGGGATCAAAAGAGGAAGTTAGAAAAAAATGGGGGAAAAGGAAGTCAGAAAAACGACAAACGGAGAAGGTGCAGAGTAAAAATATGGCCCTAAACTTTTATACTTAAGTTTTACTTTCAACCCACTCAAAGACAAAACTGCTTCACCAACATTTTTGCTGAGGGTTCAGCAATTACTGGACTGAAGCTTTTATTGGATGACAATCCCCTTGGATGTGTTTAAATTTGGCCCTAAATGCCTCATGTCCTTTCTTTTAATTTTTTATTTTTTTCAGCAAATAATGTCAAACAGATTGTCACAATAAGTGACTGACAGCTGCTGTCCTTCCAGGAAACAGGACACGAGTGCAGACCTGTCTAGACCAATGCTGATGAGGGATTTTTGTTTTAATCAAGAATGGGTCTTGCTTGGAAACTTGTTTTTGTATAATATATTTTAAAAAAAACTACTCTGCCAAAGACAGACCTCATAAAATATTCAAGCTAAAAATTCTGCCATGTAGTGACAGAATTTCCATCTTTCTTTTTCAGATCAACAATTTTAAGCTTGTAAGATCTGACAGTTCCCAGAGGCAACGAGTCTGTGATGGAGTCATGTGAATTGAATCTTTTAGTTTTATGCAAATAAAAAGAAACAAAATTGATGATCCATCTTAAGGAATGCTCTACCAGAATGTATTATGAAGCTTTCCAAAGAAACAATTCATAAGAAGCACGGAGAAGATCAATCCTATCAGTTTAATACAAAAACAAAGCTTCAGTTTGTTTGAATAAATGAGCTCTCAGGTTGATTCCAAAGAACTTGCAGTAGAAAACGGCTGGAAATTATTTTGAAACATCTCTGCAACACAACTAGTAATTGATTAGATTACTGCTGATAACTTCAGAGATGCTGGAAAAGAGCAAAGCAGCGGTCAGAGGTCAGAGAAGTTTCCTTTGGGTTCATAACATAAATCTAACAGAGCTTGAAGCCTCCGGGCTAATTTCAATAACACATTTGATTAAACAGCCTGGAAGCTGGAGATAAATTCATCATTTGCTGACAAAGTTCAGCACTTTAGGGACAAATGTTGGTATAGTTCAGTCTAGAAATGCTGGAAATTAAAAATAAGTGGAGAACAAAAGGTTTACGCAGGTTGTTTTATTTAGTAGTTTACAGTAGGAGCAGCTGATGAAAGCAGCAGGGAATCATTGCTACTCCATTATTTCTGCTCTCTATTTAGATCATTGCCAACACAAGGTTTAATTCCAAAATAAAATGCCAATTTGAATAAATTTCAGTTTGGGATGCTAACATTTTTGTAAGTGCCAATTTTTAACGTAAACTGTCAAGTCAATTCATGATGTGGCAATCTACTTTATGAAAACCTTGACGGTCTGCTGTGTTTTTTTTATTTTGTTCAATATAACTTGAACCGTTGCAGCCAACATGACGGTAAAAATTAGGTGACTCTGCGTCGGTACTGTTTGCGGATGACTGAAAGTCCTGCAGCAATATGCTTGAAAGCAAGTGAGAAAATATTCAAAGGCAAACCAGTTCCAGCTTTAGGTCAACGCTCCATAGGAAACCTAAGTGCTGCACTGCAATGTACACGGCTCGGTGAATCATACCTAACCATCTCGTGTTCAATTCATGAGAGGGCCATTATGTAGAAAAAAAAGGTCAGCTAGGCATGTGAATGCACTCCATGTTTGCCTGAAAAGCTCCAGCAAAGCTTTTCCCACAGGAGGAAAAAAAAATGGAGAGAAAAGAAATAAAATAAATCTAACTCAGCGACTGCCCTCACACCTTTTTCTGTAACCCCTGCTCCGACCTCTCTTCAGCAAATGAACCAGTGTTATTTTCAACCATTCTAGACGGATATTATTTTATCTATATGATGGTCTTTTGGCTTGTTGCCCGTGTTGCTGCTGTTGCAAAGCCAGAGGAAGGGAAGGGGGCACCTGTCTCTGCCTCTCCTTAATACATGAGGCAACGTGCGCTGCTACGCCATGAAACAGATTTAACAACAAATGAGACTGAGATTCTGAAATATACTGAAGCTATGTGGACAAAAATGAACAAGACTGAAACTCTAAGTGAGTAATGTACACTGTCCCATTAATAAATCAACTGAAATGAAACTGTAACGTAACTTCAACTTTTATTCTATTCTGTTTGATTTACAGTCAGAAAAGGATACAGCTGAGCTGACTCAAACTCATTCACATTTTTAATAGAGCCCAAAAGCAACGGCTTAAGTCTGGGTAAATCTGTTCACATGGAAAAAAAACATAACAAATGTCTCTGCAGTTTTAATTTATTTTCGTCCTTTTTTTAATCCTTTTTCTTTTGTCCTTAAAAAGATCTTTATGAACAGGTGTTGAAAATTAGCAGGGCTGCTGTAACACTAAAATACATCAGAATCAGTTTTATTGTCATTCACACACGTCGTCAGAGATGCAATGCAGAAGGAAATTGCAGCCAAGGACACCCGTTCAAAAGAAAGACACACATGACAAACATGGGAGAACGGATGAACAGGTTTTTCACAACACGGTCACGCTACATTTTGCAGCTTGGACAAACACGATAAGATGGGTGAGTTAAAAAAAGTTGCTCTGATCCAATATTTCAGGTGTTCCAGTGTACTTGTACATGTTCATAATTAAATCAGATCAAAAAGATGGCGTAAAAATGTGGTGTTAATAATCAATAAGAACCTTTAAGTAACAAAAAGTTAAATTAGTTGTCTTATTGCTGGGATTAATGTATTTTTAAGTAAAAAATCGAGAGGGGAGGGGGGAGAGATAAAAACATAAGCACCTGCCTCACCTGCTCGTGCCAATGCTAATGTTGAGTTTAAGGGAAAAATAAAGGTAACACTTTCTTTTATAGTACCCTTATTACCATGTAATTACAAGGTAATAAAAATGAACTTAAATGTAATTAAATGTAATTTCTACCTTATTACCATGTAATTACGTGGTAATTAGGGTACAAAAGAAAAACTACTGTTAGTAAAACTACCTTTATTGGGTAACTACAATCAATAGTAACCCAACACTATATTTATAACTAAAAGAATTCAACTACATTTTGGGGTTAGTGGTTAATTGCAATAAAATATAACTTTAAAACTGTCCAAATTACCTACTACTTATTTAGGTGTTACATAGTGAATTGTAATACATTACTAGGTAAGTGCTACATTACCGCAGACAATTAATCACATGGTAAATTGTACCCTAATTACCACGTAATTACATGATAATAGGGTAGTAATTATGATTT